CGGAGGCACGCACAGGCCGACACCTGGCCACGTTCTCGCGTCGGCCGGGGTCGAGTCTCTACACCCTGACCGTTGAGTCTCCTCCTGTCCCTGCGTCTGGTCAGGTGCTTGCTGCTGTGTCCCGGTCAGGTCCTGAGTCTGCCCCCTGTTCTTGTCGCCTCCTGTCTCACGAGACTCTCCTGTGGCACCACCGTCTTGGCCACCCCTCCTTGCCCCGTCTTCGGAGCATGGCTTCCCGTGTCCTTGTCTCTGGTCTTCCCCAGTCTCTCCCTCCGGCAGCAGTAGCTTAGCAGCAGCAGCAGCAGCAGCACAGGTGGCAACAGCACACGTGGCAGCAGCAGCGCAGCCGGCAGCAGCAGCTCAGGAGGCAGCAGCGCGTTTGGCAGCAGATGCGCAGCAGTAGCAGCGCTGATGGGTAGGGGCTCGGCAGGGCAGAGCGCACCTGCAGTAGCGCGTGGAGCAGCAGCAGCAGCTGTCAGAGGTCCACTGGTGATCCCCGATTGATCCTAGGGAAAAGTTACAGGCACGTTGGCCTGGGGGGTTATGGGCGCACTCACCCGATACATGAACAAGCCCTTTTATCCCAGTGGTTTGTGGCTGGGATTCTGACATGGTATCAGAGTGGAGGTCTCGGGCTCAAATCCTAGTGTGTGCACTTCGGGCATCCCAATGCGGGGGGGTGTCAGAGGTCCACTGGTGATCCCCGATTGATCTTAGGGAAGGGTTACAGGCACGTTGGCCTGGGGGGTTATGGGCCCACTCACCCGCTACACGAACAAGCCCTTTTATCCCAGTGGTTAGTGGCTGGGATTCTGACAGCAGCAGCAATAGCAGCAGCGCGCTTAGCAGCAGCAGTAGCGCATGCAGCAGTAGCAGCCGCGTAAGTGACGGCAGTAGCAGTGCGGACGAGCAGGGCGCAGGCAGGGTGCGCGTGGGTGCGCGCGGGGCGCGCATGGGGTGCAGGTTGCTGGTTGGGCAGCGCGAGCAGCGCGCTGGGCAGCAAGTGCGCGGTCAGGGCGGCGCAGGGCGCGGGCAGCTCGCGTAGGGCAGAGCGCGGGCCGTGCAGGCAGTGCGCGGGCAGAGCAGGAAGCGTGCGGGTCGAGCGCGCGTAGGGCTCGGGCAGCGCGCGTGCGGGCGGTGCGGGCGGGGCACGTGCATGCGTGCAGGCGGCGCAAGCAGGGCGTGTACGGGTCGCGCAAGGTCAGGGCGATGGCACTAGGCAGGGCGGCACTAGCAAACAGACGGTCGCGATTTCGTGGGGCGGGGCGGAACGAACGGGCAGGATATAAGCTAACTGTCAGAACATATAGCTTGTGCTTATTGTGTAGGCTATAGTGGGGTAGCCCATAAGGGGTACAACCCAATTAGGGTACTTGTACTCAGTTCATTCATAGTTCATTCATTTCTCGTTTCTTCTCATGGTATCAGAGCAGGTTCCCTAGTGGGAACGCTACCTAGGGCCCACCACGATTTTTTTCCTGCCCGGAGCGAGCCTTCGACTAGACCGAGTCGCGCGCGCCCCGTGTGCCCTCCCTACCGTCGCGCCGCCCTTTGTGGCCCCTTGCGCTGCCCGTCCACCCCACGCGCCGCCCTAGCGGCCCCTCCTTGCGCCACCCGTCGACCCCGCGCGCCGCCTTAGCGGCTCCCTGCGCCGCCCGTCGGCCCCGCGCGCCGCCCTAGCGCCCCCCCTGCGCCACCTGTCGACCCCGCACGCCGCCCTAGCGCCCCCCCCCTGCGCCGCCCGTCGACCCCAGCGCGCCGCCCTTGCGGCCTCGCCGCCCTTACCTGCGGCCTCGCCGCCCTCACCTGCATTCCCCGCCGCCCTTACCTGCGGTCCCCGCCGCCCTCAACTCCGGCCTCGCCGCCCTTACCTGCGGCCTCACCGCCCTCACCTGCGGTCCCCGCTGCCCTCAACTGCGGCCTCGCCGCCCTTACCTGCGGCCTCGCCGCCCTCACCTGCGGTCCCCGCCGCCCTCAACTGCGGCCTCGCCGCCCTTACCTGCGGCCCAGCCGCCTTCCCTGCGGCCCCGTCACCTGCTGCAGTGCCGCCCGCCACCTGAGCCGCCCGGGCCGCCTCACCTCGCCGAGCAGCCGACTGCCGCGCCGCCCTGCAGCAGCACGGCCGAGGCGCCCAGAAACTGAGCAGCCGAGCAGCCGAGCCGCCCAGCAACCGAGCAGCCGAGCCGCCCTGCAGCCGAGCCGCCCAGCAGCCGAGCCGCCCTGCAGCCGAGCCGCCCAGCAACCGAGCCGCCCTGCAGCCGAGCCGCCCAGCAGCCGAGCCGCCCTGCAGCCGAGCCGCCCAACAGCCGAGCCGCCGTGCAGCCGAGCCGCCGATCCGCCCTACCTCCGAGCCGCCCGAGCAGCCCCGTCCGGTGAGCACAGTGCCTCTTTTCCTGCACTGACCTCACCCTACTGTTGCACTGCTAGTCTACTGTGGTCATGGCTACCCCTAGTGTCCTCGCTTTTGACGCTGAGGGTCGAGCCATTGACTTTGACGTCTGGGTAGATGACCTGCAGCTGTTTTTACAGTGCGATAGGGCAGACTGTCTCTCACTCTTTGACCTCACCTCTGGCGCCTCTCCTGCCCTTGCTGCTGATGCTGATGCCACTATTCGCTCCCAGTGGGCCACGCGCGACGCTGCTGCACGTCTTGCTGTGCGTCGCCACCTCCCTACCTCTGAGCGTGCGCACTTTAGTCAGTACAAGAGTGCTCAGACCTTGTACGACGCTGTAGTTCCGCGCTACTCCTCCCCTGCCACTGCTGCACTGAGCCATCTCATGCTACCGTACCTCTTCCCTGACCTTGCTGCCTTTCCCACAGTCGCTGACCTCATTACGCACCTCCGCACTAGTGACACTCGCTACCGCGCTGCGCATCCTGCTGACTTCTGCGCCACGAACCCCCCCTCCCATGTACATCACTCTCTACTACATAGTCACTCGCCTCCCTGACTCCCTTCGCGTAGTCAAGGACCACTTCCTCTCAGTCTGTCCCACCACTCTCACTGTTGACCTCCTTGAGAAGTCCCTCCTAGCGGCCGAGAAGAGCATAGTCGCTGTAGGGGCCTCTCGTGGTGACCCGCGCACCCCCATCTTTGAGGGGTGTTCCCCCTCCCCCCTTCTGCCCTCTGTTGACTCTGCTGCTGCGGCCGACCTCCTTGGTCTTGAGTCGGTCGGTGCGGCGTCTGCCCCTAGCGGGAGACGCCACCCTGGCAAGGGCAAGGGGGGGAGGGGCACTGGAGGAGCGAGCGGGGGCAGTGGAGGTGGAGGTGGAGGCGGCGGGGGGAGTGGGGGTGGCGGTGGGAGTGGTGGTGGGGGTGGAGGTGTCGGTGGCGGCAGTGGAGGCGGAGGCGTCGGCGGCGGTGGCGGTGGGAGCGGAGGTGGCGGAGGTGGCGGCGGTGGAGGAGGCGGCGGAGGCGGCGGTAGTAGCGGAGGCGGCGGAGGCGACTGAGGCGGCGGGGGTGGCGGTGGAGCTGGTCGCGGGTCTACGCAGAGGAGTGGCTCCGGTGGTGGTCCACGCCAGCAGCAGCAGCGCGGTCGTGAGACCCTGTCCCCTCAGCAGCTCCGTGAGTGGTACACTGCACGCCAGCGGGGTGGGGGTTTTGGTCCGTGGACCTACGTCCTGCGCACCGGCGACCGTGCGGGTGAGCAGTGTGGGGGTGCGCACCCCACCCAACGCTGCTTTGGCCGCCTGACGGACGCGTGGCGTCACCAGTTCCCGGAGGCCACAGAGATCCCTCGCTGGGGCGAGCTGTCTAGGGCGGGTGTTGCCATCTATGATCTTGATTTTGATGCTATTATTTCTGCCATGTATGCTGTGTCTATTAGTGATGAGGGTGACTGTTACCGGTGTTTCCCGCCCAATCCGGGCATTGAGACTGCTGCTCTAGGTACTGGTGAGGCGGCTTCCCTAGGTGCTTGCGACGCTGCTGCTCTAGGTGCTAGTGCGTCTGCGTCCTCAGGTACTGGTGAGTCGGCGCTCTCAGGTACTACGTCGGCTTCGGCCTCCCTCACCTTCACCCTTGACTCCGGGGCGTCTCGCTCCTTCTTTCGGGACCGCACCACACTCACGCCGCTTAGTCGGCCGGTTGCGGTGTCTCTCGCTGACCTCTCTTGGGGTCCTGTACTGTCTCACTTCTCCACAGTCCTCCCGTGTCCGGCGGCTCCCTTTGGCACCCTGTCTGGTCTCTACCTCCCCTCGTTCTCTACAAACCTGGTGAGTGGTGCTGACCTACAGGATGGGGGAGTACACCAGTTCACTCCTGCGCGTCAGCGGGTGACGCACTGCACAGAGGCTAGCACAGGCCGACACCTGGCTACATTTACCCGTCAGCCGGGGTCGAGCCTGTACACACTGACCACTGCGTCTCCTCCAGTTGTTGAGTCTGGTAGGGTAGCTGCGTCGGGTCAGGTGTTTGCTGCAGCGTCCAGGTCTGGTCCTGAGTCTGCCCCCTGTTCGTGTCGTCTCCTATCTCACGAGACTCTCCTCTGGCACCACCGCCTTGGTCACCCCTCTCTGCTTTGGCTCAGAGGCATGGCCTCCCGTCTTCTTGTTTCCGGTCTCCCCCGGTCCATCCCTCCCCTTCCTCAGGGCCCTGGCCCTACCTGTGTCCCCTGTGTCGAGGGGCGCCAGCGTGCTTCCCCTCACTCCTCCCAGTTTCCTCCGACAGAGGCCCCGTTGCAGACGCTTCAGATGGACGTGTGGGGCCCAGCCCGCGTCCGTGGACAGGGTCACGAGCGCTACTTCATGCTCGTTGTTGACGACTACTCGCGTTACACCACAGTCTTCCCCTTGCGCAGCAAGGGTGATGTCACTGAGGTGCTGATCGACTGGATCCGCGCAGCTCGTCTCCAGCTCAGGTAGAGCTTTGGCTCGGACTTTCCTATTCTGCGTCTGCACTCGGACAGAGGCGGAGAGTTTTCTTCTGGCCTTCTGAGATCCTACTGTCGCGCACGAGGAATCCGTCAGACCTTCACGCTTCCGGACTCCCCGCAGCAAAATGGGATTGCTGAGCGCCGCATTGGCAAGGTCATGGACGTCGCTCGTACGTCTATGATGCATGCGGCTGCTCCCCATTTTCTGTGGCCGTCTGCGGTGAGGTACGCGGCGCATCAGATCAACCTACACCCCAAGGTCTCCAGGCCGGAGACCTCCCCAGCCTTGCTGTGGGTGGGGAAGGTTGGCGATGCGTCGGCGTTCCGGGTCTGGGCATCTCGGGCGTTTGTCCAGTTCCCGCCGCCTTTATCGCGTTCCCGCCGCCCGATTCCCGTTCCTGCCGCCCTATTCCCCTTTCGCGCCGCCCACTTCCCCTTTCGCGCCGCCCACTTCCCCTTTCCCGCCGCCCGACGCGCCTTTTCAGCCGCCCGATTCCCATTTCCCGCCTCCAGACATTCCTTCCCGCCTCCCTATTGCCGTTTCTGTCGCCCGACGACCCATCCCTCCCTTCTCTCCCTTCTCTCCCTTCCCTCCCTTTCCTCCCTTCCCTCCCTTCTCTCCCTTCCCTCCCTTCTCTCTCTTCCCTCCCTTCTCTCCCTTCCGTCCCAACTAATTACCCACACTCCTCCATCCTCTCCCTTCCCTGCCTTCCCTTCCCCTCCCTCCCCTCCCTTCCCTCCTTCCCTCCCTTCCCTGCCTTCCCTCCCCTTGCCTCCCCTCCCTTCCCTCCTTCCCTCCCTTCCCTCCTTCCCTCCCTTCCCCCCTTTCCCATCATTCCCTCCCTTCTCGCCCGTCTCTCCCTTCCCTCCCTCTCCCCCTTCCCTCTTTCCCTCCCTTCCCTCCCTTCTCTCCCTTCCCTCACCTCCCTCCCCTCCCTCCTTATCTCCTTTCCCTCCAATCCCTCCCTTCCCTCCCTTCTCTCCCTTCCCTCCCTTCCCTCCCTTTCTCACTTCCCCCCCTTCTCTCCCTGCGCTCCCATCTCTCCTTTCCCTCCCTCCTCTTCCGTCCCTCGCTTCACTCCTTCCCTCCCCTCCCTCCCTTCCCTCCCTTCACTCCATTCTCTTCATTTTCTCCCTTCTCTCCCTTCATGTCCTTCTCTCCCCCCTTACCTTCTCTCCCTTTTCACCGTTCCCTCCCATCCCTCTTTGCAATCTCCAGCCTCTCCCTTCTCTCCCTTCTCTCCCTTCTCTCCCTTCTCTCCCTTCTCTCCCTTCTCTCCCTTCTCTCCCTTCTCTCCCTTCTCTCCCTTCTCTCACATCTCTCCCTTCTCTCCCTTCTCTCCCTTCTCTCCCTTCTCTCCCTTCTCTCCCTTCTCTCCCTTCCCTCCCTTCCCTCCCTTCCCTCCCTTCCCTCCCTTCCCTCCCTTCCCTCCCTTCCTTCCCTCCCTTCCCTCCCTTCCCTCCCTCCCCTCCCTCCCCTCCCTTCCCTCCCCTCCCTTCCCTCCCTTCCCTCCGTTCCCTCCGTTCTCTCCCTTCTCTCCCTTCTCTCCCTTCCCGCCCATCTCTCCCCACCTACCACCCTTTTCTCCCTCCCATCTCATCCCGACTTCCTTATCTTCCGTCTCTCCTCTCCCTGGCCTCCGTTATCTCTCATCCCTCATTGCAATCTCCTTTCTCGTAGATGCCGGCAGGGCCGCCCGACCTCCCCTTCCCGCCGCCCGATTCCCCTATCGCTCCGCCAAATTCCCGTTCCCGCCGCCCACTTCCCCTTTCGCGCCGCCCACTTCCCCTTTCCCGCCGCCCGACGCGCCTTTTCAGCGACCCGATTCCCACTTCCCGCCTCCAGACATGCCTTCCCGCCTCCCTATTGCCGTTTCCGTCGCCCGACGACCCATCCCTCCCTTCCCTCCCTTCTCTCTCTTCCCTCCCTTCTCTCCCTTCCCTCCCTTCTCTCCCTTCCCTCCCTTCTCTCTCTTCCCTCCCTTCCCTCCCTTCTCTCTCTTCCCTCCCTTCTCTCTCTTCCCTCCCTTCTCTCCCTTCCCTCCCTTTCCTCCCTTCCCTCCCTTCTCTCCCTTCCCTCCCTTCCCTCCCTTTCTCACTTCCCCCCCTTCTCTCCCTGCGCTCCCATCTCTCCTTTCCCTCCCTCCTCTTCCGTCCCTCCCTTCACTCCTTCCCTCCCCTCCCTCCCTTCCCTCCCTTCACTCCATTCTCTTCATTTTCTCCCTTCTCTCCCTTCATGTCCTTCTCTCCCCCCTTACATTCTCTCCCTTTTCACCCTTCCCTCCCATCTCTCTTTGCAATCTCCAGCCTCTCCCTTCTCTCCCTTCTCTCCCTTCTCTCCCTTCTCTCCCTTCTCTCCCTTCTCTCCCTTCTCTCACTTCTCTCCCTTGTCTCCCTTCTCTCCCTTCTCTCCTTTCCCTCCCTTCCCTCCCTTCCCTCCCTTCCCTCCCTTCCCTCCCTTCCCTCCCTTCCCTCCCTTCCCTCCCTTCCCTCCCTTCCCTCCCTTCCCTCCCTTCCCTCCCTCCCCTCCCTCCCCTCCCTTCCCTCCCCTCCCTTCCCTCCCTTCCGTCCCTTCCCTCCGTTCTCTCCATTCTCTCCCTTCTCTCCCTTCCTCCCCATCTCTCCCCACCTGCAAGGGAGACAGCAACTGGCCGAGCAAGCGGCTCAAGGGCAGTGCGGTCACGAAAGAAGCAGCGAGAAGCACGTGAGTCCAGTGTGAAGGTGTGCAGTGCTGCAGTCGACTCAGTACCAAGGGGGCCAGACACACAAGCACCTAGAGCAGCTGCCTCACCAGCACCTGGGGTAGCCGACACGGGAGTACCTGGAGCGGCAGACGCACTGGCCCTAATGCCCGGGTCGGGCGGCACACACAAGTACTCAGCACCCTCTCCACTAGTAGACATCACATACATAGCAGATAGAATAGCATCAAGGTCTAGAGCATAGATATCAATCCCCTTCTTCAGGAGATCAATCCAGCGGGGCAGCTCAGTGGCCTGAGGGAACTGAACACGCCAAGCATCGTCGAGACGAGCGAAGCAGCGCTGTGTGGCGTGCGATCGTCCACACTGCTGACCAGTGCGGTCACCAGTGCGAATGACGTACGTGCAGCTAAGACCACCCCCACCCCCGTGCTGAGAGTACCACTCACAGACCTCCTGGGGCGAAGGAGTGTGCTGCTAGCCCTGGCCACCGCCAGCGCCTCCACGGCCACCACTACCGCCGCCACCTCCTCGACCACCCCAACCCCTGCCGCCGCCTCGTCCACCGCCACCCCAACCACCGACTCCGCCCCTGCCACCTCCCCCGCCGCTGCCGCCACCACCCCCATCGCCGCCACTAGTCTCCCCAGTCGTGCCACCACCCCCGCCGCCTCCACCGCCCCCACCGCCGCCTCCCCCACCGTCACCACCACCACCCTTGCCCCCTTTTCCCTTGCCGCTGCGGCGCCCGCTCGAAGCAGACGCAGCGCCGACCTTCTCAGCACCAAGAAGGTCGACAGCAGCAGCAGAGGCGACAGAGGGAAGAAGGGGGGAAGGTGAACACCCCTCAAAGAACGGGGTACGGGGGTCGCCACGAGAGGCACGTACAGCGACTATGCTAGTCTCAGCTGCAAGCAGTTCCTTCTCGAGGAGGGCAATGGTGAGCTCAGTGGGGCAGCGAGCTAGGAAGTGGTCCCTGACAGCACGAAGTGTGTCAGGGAGGCGGGTGACTAGGTGGTAGAGAGTGAGCCAGAGTGGAGGGGGGTGCGTGGCAAGGAACTCAGCGGGCATGGCGGCACGGAAGCGGGCCTCACTAGTACGGAGGTGCGTGATGAGGTCAGCGACTGTGTGAAAAGAGGCCAGGTCGGGAAACAGGTAGGGGAGGGAGAGACGGCCTAGTGCGGCAGAGGCAGGTGAGGAGTAGCGAGCAACTACAGCTGTGTACAGTGCCTGTGCAGTCTTGTGCTGGCCAAAGTGCTCGCGTTCGTCTATCGGCAGGGAGTTGCGAATAGCGAAGCGAGTGTGGGCATCACGAGTCTGCCACTGTGAGCGAGCGGTGCTGTCAGCAGTAGCAGCAGGGGCAGTGACATGGCCTAGGGCGTGATCGTATAGTGAGATGTCATCCTTGGCTGTGAGCTGTAGGTAGAGGTGCAGGTCATCTAGCCAGGTGTCAAACTTCACTGGGCGGCCCTCAGCATCAAAAGCTAGAACCTGTGGGCTAGCCATAGGAGCAGTAGAAGTAGCAGCAGTAGCAGTAGAAGAAGCAGTTACGTCGGCTCAGTTCGGGCAGGGCGGCGCGGCTCGGGTGGGGCGGCTCGGTTCGGGTTGGGTCACGCGGCTCGGCTGGGTTCGCGCGGCTCGGCTCGGGTCGCGCGGCTCGGTTCGGTCGCGCGGCTCGGTTCGCCCCGGGCTGTGGCGGTACTAGGCCGCTCGGAGCCTCTAGGGACGGTGGGCGCGGGGCCAACGGGGCCGTTTGGGGCCTTAGGGAGGTGAGCGCGGGCCGTTCGGGGCCTTTTAGGGGTCGACGGGGCCGCTAGGGAGGTAAGCGTGGGGCCGTTCGGGGCCGTTTAGGGGTCGACGGGGCTGCTAGGACGGTGAGTGCGGGGCCTAACGGGGCCACTAGGGGCCGACGTGGCCGTTTGGGGCCGCTAGGGAGGTAAGCGCGGGGCCGTTCGGGGCCTTTTAGGGGTCGACGGGGCCGCTAGGGAGGTAAGCGCGGGGCCGTTCGGGGCCGTTTAGGGGTCGACGGGGCCGCTAGGACGGTGAGCCCGGGGCATAACGGGGCCACTAGGGGCCGACGGGGCTGTTCTGGGCCGCTAGGGAGGTAAGTGCGTGGGCCGTGAGGGGCCTCTAGGGGCGGGCCGTCAGTGCCTTAGGCGCCCTAGGTAGGTAGGTAGGTAGGCAGGTAGGTAGGTAGGTAGGTAGGTAGGTAGTGGTGGGCCCTTAACAGTTCGGTCCTAGGAGGGACCTGCTCTATACCATGTTGGAAGAACTGATCAGGAATGAATGAACTAAGAGTGAAAACAGTACAAATACCTAACCCTAGAATTGTGTACCCCCTACAGGCTAACCCACTGTAGCCTAAACAAGCACAACAACATATATGATGTTTGACAGTGGGGGCAAGTCGGGTGCCGGTGGCAAAATGAAAGGGAGTTGCTGGTATTGTGAGAAGGAGGGGCACCCCTGGTTTTTGTGCTATAATAAACCCGAGGGATGGACCCCCCAGAATCGTCACCAGGATGGCGGCGCGCGGAGGAACCAGAAAAACGGCGTGAGCATGGTTGCTGATTCGTCCAACAACAACCCGAAGAGCAACGGCGGTGCGGAAAAGAAGAAGGAGCGCACCGCGGGCCAGTTCTTCCATATTGGAGAGCAGGGGGAGCAGGGGGAGCAAGGAGACGCCTCTGCCAAGGTTGGAGCAGAGCTGCACCCCCTGGATTATTGGGTGTTGGACACGGGCGCTGCTTGGACGATGACGCCGCGAAAAGACCTGCTGGACCATGTACGAGCTGCACCGATCAACGAGGTGTGCTCCGCCTCTGGACACGCGCTGAAGGTGGCTGGTGCGGGACGAGCTGCGTTTAAGGGAGCGGATGGCAAGCCGGTGGTGCTGCACGACGTTCTCCTCGTTCCTGAACTCAAGGCCAACCTCATCTCCCTCCGACTACTACTAAGTGATCACGTCGCTGGCGATAGGCATACTGCTTCTGGGAGGTTTGCATCGTGGTGAGACGTCGCTGAGTCTTCTCCCATAGCTGCTGCATGGTGGTGACGAAGTCATGTGCGGCTTCGACGTGTGCCAGTGTGGTTGACTCCTGTGGTGTAAGTGGTTCCCGTCCGTAACACATGAACAAAGGAGTTTTCCCTGTGGCCACATGTGACGCGTTGTTGTAAGCGAACTCTAGGGTTGGTAACTGTGTGTCCGAGTGGCTGACATCGTCTTTGCAAGCTGTGCGTAGTAACTGTTCAACCACCAAATTGAGTCGCTCTGTCTGTGTGTCAGTCTGTGGGTGGTATGCTGAGGACATCACAAGTTTGGTCCCCAATAATCCCATGAGCTCCTTCCAGAACTTACTTATGAATTTGGGGTCTCTGTCTGAGATGACTGTAGCGGGGATGCCGTGGATGGTGATGATGTGGTCGAAGAAGAGGCGAGCGGTTGCTTCAGCTGTAGCTGTGGGGTTGGTCGGTATGAAGTGACCCATTTTGGAGAACTTATCGATGACTACGAGGATTGAGTCATGTCCCCGTGAGGTCGAAGGAAGTCCCGTGATGAAGTCGAGGCTAAAGACCTGCCATGGCTTCTCCGGTACGGGTAGAGACTGAAGTAACCCTGCTTTTCTCTGCTTTCTACTCTTCATCCGCTGGCATGTGTCACATGTGGTGACAAACTGCTGCACGTCTGCTGCCATCCTGGGCCAGTAGTAATACTTTGCTATCCCTGCTAATGTCTTGTTGCTCCCGAAATGTCCCGCATAAGGTACGTCGTGAAACTCCTCCAATAGGATCTGCCGTAGTGGGGCGTAATTCGGTACCCAAATCTTTCCTGAACCCTTCCTTACCGCTGAGTCATTCTACCACTGTAACAGCTTCCTAGTCTGTGCCATAGCAATCTCTGCGTCCACGGAGTATCCACGTTGGAATAGACCCTTGAGCAGAGGGTTCATCCCGTCCAGCTAGATGCCTGCTATATGACCGAGGCGGCTCAATGCGTCTGCCTTGTTGTGTAGCCCAGGCTTTTAGACGATGTCGTAGTGGAAGTGAGTTTCCAGGAAGTCCACCCACCCCACCTGTCGTCGTGAAAGCGTCGGCTGCGACTTCAGGTATTTGAGGCTGCAGTGGTTAGTGTAAACTGTAGTCTTGGCTCCCTCTAGGTAACACCTCCACGCCTTGAAGGCCACAACTATGGCTAAGGCTTCCTTGTCGTGAATGGGGTAGTTAAGTTCTGCTCCGTGTAGTTTTTTACTGAGGTAGGCGATAGGCTGTAAACCGTGTCCGTGATCCTGCATCAGTACTACTCCGACTGCCTGGTCACTAGCGTCTGCTTCAACTACGTAGTCCTTGTCTGGGTCTGGTAGGATGAGTACTGGTGCTGTGGTCAGTGCTGTCTGTAGCTGCTCCATGGTTTGCTGATGAGGAGTATCCCATTTGTAGGGCGTATCCTTTTTCAATAGGTCGGTCAGTGGTGCTGCTATCATAGCGTATTGTGGCACGAACCTGTTGTAGTAGTTGGCGAAGCCTAGGAACTACTGCAACTCCTTCACGTTCTCCGGTTCTTTCCACTTCTTGACGGCTTCGATCTTCCGCGGATCCACGTGTACACCCTCCGCACTCACCATGTGCCCGAGAAGCTGCACCTTCTCCAAGGCGAAGTCATTCTTTGACAGCTTCACGTAGAGCTTGTTTTTTTCGCAGGATCTCGAACACCGTCCGTAGATGCTCCACGTGCTCCTTCATGTTCTTGGAGTAGATGAGGATGTCGTCCAGGTACACTACTACGCACCCGTCCATCAGGGGCCGTAGGATGTGATTCATCTCCGCCTGAAACGTTGCTGGTGCGATGTAGAGTCCGAACGGCATCACCAAGTATTCGTAGGAGCCGTATCTGGTACGGAACACCGTCTTGTGGATCGAGTTGTCGGCCATCTTGATCTGCCAGTAACCCGATAGTAAGTCCAGCTTCGAGAATACTGTTGCACCACGTAGTTGGTTAAGTAGGTCGTCTATGCTCGAC